TGAGAACCATATATCATGAAAATAGTTTACCATTTATTGGCTGATCGAATCCGTCAAAAGGTTTTTTTTTCGTATTTTGCTCTTGCCATTCTAAATACCTTTTGTTTTCTCGACAATTAAACTAATGCAAAAATATGATAATCGTTCTTCAGCGCCTATATTAAATTATATTAATCACAACGTTTCCAATAGAAGAAAACATAAATGCAACTTAATGTGAAGAGGAAAGCAGTCGTAGTCTTCCTATATTAATATCCTCAAAATCTTTTATAGGTATTTAATTAGTTTCTTTGATCTTATCGTGCGGAGTTCTTTGAACTCCCTAACGCACGATTGTTAGGGAAAGAACTCATATGAGTGACTTATGGCAAATTTTCAAGATTTTAAATACTTATCAGACATTCTACACGTTACGGCTGCGCAAAAGTTAATCTTTAGGGAAATTTTGTCACTTCCAATCATTATTAAGCTCGACTTTCGAAAACGGACACTTCCTAACTCTGCTCATGACATGCTTGTATATATGTGTCTCCAATATGATGAAATATCTATAAGTTATGGCGTATGTTCCTAATAGACATGTTGATGCTCTTGTTTTATTTTTTCAAACCATGTATATGCGTCAAAAATTTCCATAAATGTGACTTATTTGTAGTACACAGACTCTATTTCAAATGCACAATTCCACTAAACAGGAGATTTCGGGATAGCTCTCCATAAATATTTTTGTGAAATTATTCACGATCGTTTGCAAGTGACAAATTTCTCGGGGATATCCGGCAATCTTGGCTGTTCTGTTGACCTACCAAAACACAATTTATCTACAAATTGAATCTGTGAGCTCTGATAGCAGATTCGTAATGCTATTCCGAACCAATTTTCTATCTTTGTAAACTTATTATGACAACTAATTAGATTTTTAGAATGAATCTGATTCTGTTTTTGCTTGAATCTCAAGTTTCAGCGCTGAAATGTTGCTTATTTTTCTTGGTATTTTAGTTTGCTACTGGCATTCTATGGAAATCTTGTCCAGACTACTGTCGAAATTGTAAAGGAAGAGCAGACGGAGCATGCGTAAAGGTCAACAACAAAGATTGCAGCGGAGGATATCAGTGCCAGTTAGTGAGAACTCGTATGCAATCTAAGATCAGTTTTTAAATATAGCAACATTGAAGGTGCAAAGGAGGATCATATGCCAAATCGACAAAACCACTTGTCGTCGCTACCTGCAAGCTTGGACTTTAATCGATTGGGAGTGTATCTGTCATGAGCTGATTAAACTTTGATGAATACCATTCATAATAAAGCAAATTCAATGCATTCTCTTTGGACCACATAGTAGCGTATATTTGCTTGTAGCATCACCTTGTATGTAGGTTGCAGAAGATCACCTGCTTCTTATGCACTAATACTCAGATGGAAATTACTCATCTAACTCTGTTTGCTCTGGCGGAGTTAGCCGAGTGGTTAGTGCTTTACGTTTCCAGGATCTCATTTCGGTGAGGTCACGGGTTCGATTCCTCCCTCGGACATAATTCTTGCCTGCGATTCCAGCGTCAGGCTTACCCTCAGGGTGCGCGACAAGCCGGCTGAGAAACACCCCGTCGCATCTAAATGAGTTAATGGCTAATAAAGTATTCTGAATAAAAGCTAGGGCGTCCCCCGGAAGCGACGCGCACTCGAGCCTGACAGGTGCGAAAGTGGGCTAGGGCCACCGTTTTACAAAGAGCGGAGACGGGTAAGAAAGCTAGCTGTTCAAAAGCAACTACCCGAAAACTCAGAAGCACTCCGATTAGCTACCATCAATGTCGGAACCCTCACTGGACAACATCGAGATTTTTCGGATCTCCTGAGAAAACGGCGAGTGGATATAGCCTGCATACAGGGAACAAATTGGAAGGGTGGAAAGTCACGCGATATTGGAGATGGCTATAAGCTTCTCTACAATGGCACATGCAGCAGTCGCAATGGAGTAGGTATAGTTGTCTCAGAAAGCCTAAGAAGTAGAAATGAGGCAGTTGACCAATTAAGTGATCGACTTATGAGCATAAAGATTGACACTGGTAGAAAAATCCTTCGAATTGTCCGCAAATCGGATGCAAGGAGGATGAAAAGGATATTTTTCTGGCAGGAGCTTGACGATTACATCACATCCATACCACAGGATCAGATACTCCTGCTCGGAGCAGACCTAAAGGGTCATGTGGGGGGGAGAAAAGAAATGGTGCGGGAAAGTGTCACGGGAACCACGGATACGGCACATGCAATGAAGAAGGCGAACGCATTCTAAAGTTCGCCACACCGTACAACCTAGCATTAGTCAATACGTACTACATCAAAAAGCATGATGCTGATAATGTTAGCATTATAGTAATTACACAACTTTAACGCCGACAACCAAAAAGTCCGCAACACCCTTTGTGATGGCATCGTCGTCAAAAATCCCGAGCCTATCGGCATCTACACCAAAAATTGCTACTACACAGTCAGTGGCGGAGATTTCTCCGAAAGGACCAATAACTACAGGTAAAAGGTCATCTGAAGTGATGAGACGAGTCGAGACAAAGAGGCATTTCTACAATGGAAGAATCGTTTGAACAATGCAGAATAAAAACTTTTAATGTAT